AACCGCCAGCGTGTGCTTTGCCGAATCCTCACTGCAGTCGCAGTGGTGGCAGGCGGGACTCGATTCCCTCCTAGCGACCGAGTACAGGTACTTTCCGAAGCAACCGTGCCCGGAAAGCACCTGCGTCAGCCGGAAGGAAAGGGTCCCGTGCTGCCGCCCTGCCCACTCGGCGATGACCGGCTGGAGAGCCTCCACGGCGGCGAAGCCAGCGCGTGGAGTCTCCAGCCGGAACGACCATCTCACCATGGTGGCTCGGCGAGCGGCTTCGCGCCACTCGCGCACGTCTTCGGGCGGAGGGCGAAATCCGCTCTCCGCCCGGAAGTCAGCCACTCGCCGATAAACTTCGGCGAGCACTTCCGCCTCCAAATCCCACGGGGGTGTTCCGGCCAAGGCGCAAGCCGCCTCGGTGGACACCGTGCGGTATCCGCGTATGGCTCTGACCGCCAATATCCTCTGGGGGCGCCAGAGGCGCGCCCTATTCGGGGCGGTCAGAGCCGCCACCCACACCGGTGCACCATAAAGCGCCATGGACCGGACAACCCCCGCGTACAGCCGTCTCGTGGGAACACTGGCCCCGCCCAAATTGGGCAAAAGTCGCCCTAGGGCGGAGGCAGTGCTCACCAGCTTCGGACCAAGCTGTCGGAAGTGCTCGTCGAAGAGCCACCTACCGTCTAGGACCAGACCCAGGTACCTCATCTGGGCCCGGACCGGTACGAGGACCGAGCCGACCTCGATTGAGGCGCCGGCGGGCGGACCACGACGGGGCCCATGGAATAATAGGGCCTCCGTCTTATCCAGGGCCACCCGCAAACCCAACGCCTCAATGCGCCCGACCACCAGGGAAACTCCCGTGGCGGCCAGGCGCGCCGCCTCCTGGAAGTTAGCCCCCCGGGCCGTGAGCAAGGTGTCATCCGCGTAGCAGATTACACCCAGCCCGGGGGGGAGACGCCCTCGTAGGGCCCAGTCGTACCCGATGTTCCACAGGAGAGGTCCTAGGACAGACCCCTGCGGAACACCGCACGACATGGCCCCTGCGTCTCAAGACGCCATCTCGGTCCTCGTACATGACGGTTCGCTCCTCAAGATAGTCTGCCACCAGCCGCCTCAGGTACTCCGGCACTCCGTGGTAGCGGAGCGCTTCCCTGATGCAGCTGAATGGCAGACTATTGAAGGCGTTGGCGATGTCCAAGGACACCGCCAACACCACTCCGCCGCAGCTCACGGCCTCCTCGGTCACGGCCCTAAGGCGCATTACGGCATCGATCGTCGAACGCCCCTCTCGGAAACCGAATTGGGCGTCCGACAGATCGGGGCCAACCTCGCAAAGGTGCCGGACGATGCGGGCAGAGAGCACCCTCTCAAAAAGTTTGCCCGCCTCGTCCAGCAACACGATAGGCCTATAGGCCGCGACCGATTCGGCAGGCCGTCCCGGCTTCTGCAGCAGGACCAGCTTCCCGCATTTCCAGCGCTCAGGGAAGCGTCCGGACGCCAGGCTAGCGTCCAACACCCCCCTGAGGTGGTCCGACATGTAGTCGAGGGTACGAGTATAACCCTAGCTCAAGCTCAAACTATACGATAATCTTAGGAAAAAAACCTAATGATATGGGGAGGTAAGTTAGTGTTCTAACATTCATAAGTTTTCTAAATTACCGGCTATGCAGTTCAAACATACCTACACACATTGCGAGTTAAATAAAAGCTATTAATTAGGGTGGCAGGCTGGCGAATGCAACTTTTATTGTGTTTATTTAAAAAGTTAAAAAACTTTATGTGACCACTAGACTGGCCTGTTATTCTAGTGGTTAGTGACCCTGACTGCTACGCCAGAGGTCGTGGGTTCGCTTCCTACCCAGGACAAATAATTGTGTGATAAGCACGGTCATTTGTTCTATGTCTGGGTGTACTTTATCTGTAATATGCATGTTTTTAAAAATATATAAGTATGTTTATCAGCAGTTTGGTTACCGTAGCGTGTGTAGGACATGTGAAATCGGGATCAGGAGAGGGCCGATCCCGAGCGAAGAAGACGTCGACACGGTACAATTATAATACAGTAGTGTAACTCGGCCGCATGATAGAAATAAATGCCTACAGCCGCGCGGTACGTAAACATGCGTTAGGGCTGCCCGTCTCCAGCATTTTAATTATATTTGCCTACTTTCTGTTTCTATTTAGATTTGTGATTGTAAATATCCTTTTTATTAAATAAATGAAATACTTTGTATATTGAATAGGAAGTGAGCCCGCGATAAAAGCTGCAATAGCTTAAAAATCCTTCTATAGAATAAAAAAATGTGCTTTCTCCTTACGCGTTAGAAAACTCCAATCCTTAGAAACTCCAACACCTACCTACTCAACTAGAATGCAAGAAACAGCTGACGAGTAAGTAACTTTTTATCTCAGCTTATTAACGTCTCCATAAATTAAGTACCTACCTACAACTCAAAACAAAAATTCTTTGGTCATCAATTAATTAATTATTAAAAAGCTGAACAGCTGACTACGAATGTTTTAAAATCACAACCCTCAAACATCTAAATCTATACGAATATTTTAAAGCTGAAGAGTTTGTTTGTTTGTTTGAACGCGCTAATCTCAGGAACTACTTACTGGTCCGATTTGAAAAATTCTTTCAGTGTTAGATAGCCCATTTATCGAGGAAGGCTATATATTATCACGCTAAGACCAATAGGAGCGGAGCACCAATAAAGAATGTTTCAAAAACGGAGATAATTTATTACCATTGAGAGACGCAGAGGAAGTTGCGCGGGTCAGCTAGTATTATATATGAGTCTAGCTGTTGTTGTTAATACCGAGAAAATGAAACCAGTTTTTAGTGGTATATGTTGTTATAGTAGCAGCAGAAACACTTTGTGAAAATTTCGAAAACTATCTAATGACACACAGACGGTAAAAAATTGTTTCTAGTATTATTCATACACACAGATAATAAACAAATATTATTAAAAATAAAATACCACGTCTTTACTTTGAATTATGCAAAGTAACAAAAACACATGCACCGAAGTTTTAACACAAGCGTAAGTAGGTAGGTACCTACCGTATCATGATTCATTCAGAACCGCATATAACTACCTATTTTACTCGTCTCAATAACTTTCCGTTACTCTATTCGCTTTATTAATCCAAACACCTTTTTTGTTCGTAAGATAAAAGGAAATACTTATCCATTAAAAAGACACACATTATGTACCTACCTACTAGTAAGTAAAATTATTTTATAGTATTACCTTTAAGAGTTTCCAGGTAATTTTAAAAAACTTAGGTCTGGATGCGTTATTGACGAATTCATACAACCAAAAACTGATTTTTAGAGAAAAAATCGCGCGGTTATTGTTAAAAAAAACAACACACCGTCCGTTCGACACTGCGGTACAGCCGTGATTGTCTGCGCCCCGAGCGCACCCCGAGATCGAGGCGCGTAGGTATAGCTCGCGTTTCGTCCGTTTGTATGAAGTTGGAGTACTGTATTATAATTGTACCGTGACGTCGACGACGTAATGAGCAGCCGACGGGACCGCGGGCCGCCAGAGAGTGGGGACCTCTGGTGGCAGATTAATTGCTGCGGTAGGGGAAAGGATGGCAGCCTGATCGCACTGAAAATGTGATCGGGCTGCAACATCTGGATAGGCTGAGAGGCAGGGAGAAGCCACTGGCTTTCCCTGAGATGGGACCTAGTTAGGTGCGGCATCGATCTGGGGGACCTGAAATCACATGGCCCGGGTTCTCCCCAGAGCAGAGCGCCTAAGGCTGGCCGTCGGAATGGTTTTTAGTGGAATCACCACATACTCCTGGCTCCTATATCCCCAAGGAGCCGGAGATCCGAAGGGATTTTCCATTCCGTCAAAAAAAAAAAAAAGAAACTCACTCATGATGATGAATCATTTGCATTCCAAAGCTATTTTTTTTTATAAAATAGTATGGCAAGTTTCATTCTCTCTTTCATACGTAATACGTTTAATACTCATCAAATATGACGTCAAACTGGAAAGAAATTTAACAAAAAGTTCTATGCTGAAATTTATATTTTATGCTGAAATTATTCTTTTATACGTATACCTAAGTAGTAATATTTTTTCTATTAAATAACCCCTGCAACTTTCCCCTAGGTACTACGGGTCGTACGGCCTGCAACGCTGTATGCTGGGCCAGCTATTTCCACATTGCAGAAGTCTGCAGCAGCCTGCAAAACTGGTCTCGAGTGAAGTCGAACACGCCTTGTCCGAACTTGTCTTAGCCGCCAGAGTCATAATAAATTTTAATTAACAATCCGAGAATGCGTTGATAGCTCAGGAAACCGATGACTATAGAAAGCAAAGGAATAAAAAAAAACATCGCGTCCAAAATAATTGGCGCCTATCGATGCGTCAATAATATCACAACTGTTGTCTATGGAAATTTTTCCAAGTTTTGTTACAATATATTACGTGTGTATTGCCATTGCCATCATATCCCGAGAATTTCGATTCATCATCATCATCATCAGCCTATAATAGAATTTCGATTATCTCGTATAATACGACCCCAAGTTATGAGAGTTCAAGGAAACGACGAAGCTTTTCAAGAAAAGGTGGCGCCGTTGCGCTTCTCTTGGCTCGACTTGTCTCCCAGATACTCCAACTGATGGGTACGCTTAACCAATACTAAAGATATAGGATTTTAAACTTTGGAAATGTGTTAATGTTTATGAAAGGGAATTTTAAATATAATAAATAAAATATCTATTATTTATTTCTATACGTTTATAGAAATTGCACAAAAATAGTCAACTTAAACATAAATCATTATAAACTTTTTGATATTCTGAATAACTAGCTATTAACTAATTCTTTTACTTACTACAGACTAGACTAAATACAACATTCAAACAATATACAACAGCTCCTAACAATAGAAAACTTAACAGAAAACTTAATAATAATACATATTTACAAAACTAAACTTATAATTAAATTACACGAATTTCTCTCAAAGTCTATTTACAAGTAGCACAGTGACCTTAAAGTCCGTTGTGAATTCATACATTGAGCACAAGCACCATTGTTAAGCTTCGCCTTCAGCTCAGCGAGTTTCTTCTTCAAGAAAGTCACCCGAACCCCAAGGCGAGCTTCCCGCAGTTTACGCCGATCACGGCTTTGCTTGGCCGCAATGTTATTTTTGATTCTTTTCTCTTTGTATTCATTGGTTTCCTCAGCTGTCTGCACAACTCGCCGCATCCTCGGATTGTTTTTCACAATGCATCCTCCGTTCTTCGCCGCCATGGCCCGAAATGATTCCCTCTCAAACTCCTGGTACTCTTCGTCTTCAGAGAGGGAATCGTTCTCGTACAACTCTGACGGCGAAGGAACATTGGGAAAAAGCGCGTTCGAGTTCACCTGGGACCAGCTTTCACAGGATGATTCCTGCAAAGTCGGTCCAGCATGTGATGTCAAAGGTTGGCTAGCTTCATAATGTTGTGAAGGTATCGGGTTGTACGACTCGTAGTATAACTGAGTCCGTTGAAAGTCAGGCGAGATCCTCTCAACTTTGACCACTGGCTGAAAGTACGAGGGCGAGGGCGAGATCTGACTGCAAGTGCTAAAATCTAGAGCGGTTTCTTCTAAGTATGGACGCCAGAGAGCCATTGTACTTGTTTACTTGACGTGCAAACGACGAATGATGATCTGTGTCGGCGAGCGACCTGGAATAGTAAGAGGCGGGGCGTAACTGACCGCCCCCAAGAGTTGAAGGGTTGAGCAGGTAGTCGCCCTGAGAGACTTACGAGCGGTAATTTATTTGTTTAGCCTTTTAAATGGGCTGTGCACACTTACGTCATTCTAATGTTTTTAATCTAATTAGGATAATTAGAAAGTTTAATAGGTGTTCAAAATAGATTAGTTAATGAGAACTTCAATGAGTTTGTTTCCGATAAAAGAGTTCTTTTATAAAATAAATTGCTATTGATGGATTTGAACCTTAATGGTTTATTCGCTGTTTAGTTAATTTTATATTATTGTTGCGGTTTCCCTTCACTATGCATGAGGCGCGTGGGGGCGCCTCCCTACGATTCACCGGTCGCAATCTTGATTTTCCTTTTGTTGTCTGCATGCGACGTGTGCGCAATGCACTCTAATTATTGTAAGTTCATTCAAAATACAAGATTTACCAAGTTCATAAGTAATTTTTTCAATTGGTATCAGTAGTGCCAAATCATTAGCGCGTTCAACTAAACAAACCCACACTCTTTTAAAGAAACTTTTTGCCTCGCACAACCAATCTGTGAACTTTTTTTCTTAAATTTTCACGAAAAGAGCGTATTCCTTCCTTAAGGTTCCTGAGTTCAAATAATAACTATTGAAGCATTAATAATTGCTAGGAAACATAAGCTCGAACAGAGTAATGGCACGGCGTTGAGTTATGCTTTCGTTGTATTTCACTATGTGAGTGAGGTTATCGAAGCCCTTCCTTCCTCCTCCTGATCCTGGGGGAGGATTCAAACGACGGCGATGCTCTTGTAACTCTTGAGATGGCACCTCCATGGGCGCTGGTAGTTACTTACCCTCAGGTGATCCGTTCACTCGTTTGCACTCCTTTACCATTAAAAATAATAAATCATCATCATTAACAGCTTCCAACAGTCCTCTGCAGGACATAGCCTCTCCTTAGAAAGGAGGTTTTGACCTACTATACGATGCCAGACGGGTTGCTATAGGGTTTGTTTCAAGTATTCCTACCGTTTTGTTTACAGTGCTGTTATCTTGAGTAGTTTACTCCCTTAGTCGGCTCTCACGACACCTTTGGGATGAACAGGGGTGGTGACACTCTGTATTCTTAATCCATTACCACACGGATCACAATTGAGTCCTTTCTGATGACAACTGTTGAAAATCTGTCAAACATTTGAGGCTGTAGAGAGTACCAAGTAATCTATCTATACAAATAAATAAAATTGGAGTGTCTGTTTGTAATATTAAAATAACCGCTTTTTACTAAATGCATATGTATGTTTACACGGTACATATGCCAAAATAACATTTTTTACAATTTTTGTCTGTCTTTCTGTTTGTTCTGGTAATCTCTGGAACGGCTGGTCCGATTTCGACGCGACTTTCACTGGCAGATAGCTGAGGACATAAAAAGTAACTTAGGCTACTTTTTTTAGACTAGCTTCGCCCCGCGGCGTTGCCCGAGGTTATAACGACAAACGCGGGTAACACCGCGGGTCTCAGCTAGTTCGATATAAATGCCTTTGATAAACATTATTTCTGTTCTATAATGTTCTATTTACATAACTAGATACTTATTTAATTAGGGTTAGGAGTATAATAATAAGCGATTAGCTAAGTTGTTGGCACGTGGTGTTGTTCACAGCGAACACAACAGGTCATTTGGTTAATGTCGGCATTTGCGTCCATTACCCACGCATAGGACGTGAACGACAAAGTGCTTAGTTCATTAGGGAATAATTGCTTAATTGCAACATTTTTACTAACATAATGATTTATTGATGCTGTAAGAGCCATTGAATAAATAACATGTAATAATGTTACGATGACATTTGATTTTTATAAATCATATTAAGACCTAAATGTTAATGTGACCGAGTGTATATACGGGATTTTAAAAAATCTATTTAAAAATGTTTTTGTCAATAGTCATATTTTATTACATTTTCAATAAATAACTAAAAAATAATTGAATTTTTAAGTTATATTACCAACGTCCACTGGGTTCGTCACTTGAAGCCACAAACAATAATAGTTTAATTAATTTTTTATTTTAATTTATTCATATTATTAAGTGTATCTTATATGAATTTTATATAAACTTAATAAACAGTAGATAATAAAACGTCCAGTCTGCTGAGTATCATGACTGGTCACTTAAAACTGGAATGTTCTTTCCTATAATAATAATAATAACTTCACACATCTCACACACGGCCGTCTAATTCCAAGCTAGGCAGAGCCTGTGCTATGGTAACCAGACTGCTGATAAACATAATTAAATATTTCTAAATACATACATATCATAGATAAATTACACCCAGACACAGAATAAATCATCGTGCTCATCACACAATTATTTATCCTGAGTGGAAATCGAACCCACGACCTACGGCTTAGCAGTCAGGGTCACTAACCACTAGACCAACAAGCCCTATAAAAATTAGTCTCGACACCCTAATGGTATTATCGCAGTGAGTTTATGTAGAGTTTTTCTAAAGGTTATCCACAGAAAATGTTGGCACCATGTAGCTTTAAAGAACAAATGTGATGACGCGTCAGATAATATCTGTTTACGGAAGAAAATTTATAATTTGGTACTTAACCCAAAATTCACTAGGTTTTTTAATTCATTTTAAACATGTGATTGTTGGATGGCGTAGTGGTTTAAGCGGTCGCCACGCCGCTTCCTACTACGCCGAGTGTTGTGGGTTCAAACCCCACATGGGACGACACTTTGTGTGATCCACAAATTGTTGTTCTGAGTCTGGGTGTTCTTTGTGTCCGTTTCATGTATGTTTGTAAAGTCCCCCGCGACACAGGATTTATTCCTAATGCGGGCGTTGTCTTTTCAAAAAAAAAAAAATTGTTAAAAATACATATGAAATATTTTTTTAAATTAAAGAACATGCTTAAATTTTAAATGACGTTTTGTTCACCTAAATACATAACTACGTATTTAAAACAACATTTTTGTAAACGACTAGACCGGCCAGCGTGGCATAGTAGGCCAAAACCTCCTTTCTAAGGAGAGGCCTATGTCCAGCAGTGGACTATTAGAGGCGATGGCGATGTTGATGATGATGATTGAAGGGTGTTTTGTTGTGAAACTATAATTCGCCAAGAACGCCTTATACGCATTTAAGATAGGACAAGATGGGAAAAAAATTGGTTGCCTGTAAAGTCGGTATACGGGCGAAAGTTTTACGTGACAACGACTATGTCTGTCTCTCTCGCTCTTAGGCGGGCTAACCATGCCCGATTGGAAGGGACGCGTGCCTCTCACTCGCTCTCATTGTGAGCGCATAACGTGAGCGGAGCGTAACGCAGTTTCTTGAAGTGTCACCCGGCAAACCAATTACAAGACGTTGTCACGTCAAAAGTGTGAGCAAATAAATATGACATGTGCCATTACTCAAAACATAATTATTTCCCTACCGTTGTGTAAAAGTCAACACAACTTTTGCATACCGTTATGCACCCAACTTTGCAGTTTCTAAAGGACAGGTGCTAAATACACATTGTAGCACGGGATTAAACCATATACCTAACTAAATGTTGAAGGAATATAAACCTTAACTTTATAAGAGAAATAAATCAAATATATTTTCAAGTATCCGTAAAGGGCTAAATAATACAGTTACAGGAAAGGTTTCGAGGCGTTCCCGTAATTCGTATTGTATCAATTGTAGGTATTGTGTGGGCTTGCGATTCGACTCGCATAAGTCCACAATTTGCGTGGGACGCATAGCGGGGTGTGATTGACATGTCAATATCACTGGCCAGTTTGTGGTCTCTTTGTAATCATACAGTTGAAAGGAATATAGGAAATGTAAAGTAACATTGTATTACTGAAAAGCACGTGCGTGATCAAAACTTTGGGAAGTAACGCCACTTGAGAAGTAAACAGTACCTGTTTGACCACAGCAGCTTAGATTGATGATGCAGTCGATGTTTAAATTTAAATAAAGCTCTGTTATTTGTCTGTCTATTAGTATTAAGTGGACTCTTGGTCTAGTAGTTAGTGATCATGAGTGCTATACCAGAGGTCGTGGGTTCTAATCTCGTCCAGAACAAATAGTTGTGATAAGTACGAACATTGCCTCGGTGGTACAGTAGTAGCGTGTGCGACTGCTGTGCTGAGGTATCGGGTTCGATTCCCAGGTCGTACCAAATGTTTATGTATTCTATCAGTCAATCTAGCTTTCATAGTACAACCTCTGTTTAGTTTGAAACTAGATGGCGTAGTGTGTTATTTATTATTTGTTCTGCGTCTGGGTGTAATTTCTCTATAAAATGTACCTTTGTATAGATAGTTCAACTCAGTTGTGCGCGCGGCCCTATGTGTGCGTGGCCCTTGTAAATATACAACTTTCATTCGTGTGGCAGTGACGCGGCAGTCGTCGTCCGAGCAGCACACGAATGAAAGTTGTATATTTACAAGGGCCACGCACACATAGGGCCGCGCGCACAACTGAGTTGAACTATCTATACATAATTAGAAGTATGTTTATCAATAATCTGGTTACCATAGTACTTACAGCCTCCTCCTATGTTGGGATGGGATTAGACGGCCGAGGGTGAGATGTGTCACGTTATTATTATTTTTAGTACTTCAAACTACAAGATACTTGGTTTATAGTGGTACAATGGCCACGTACAACCATTCGTTCCGAAGGTAACCTGGTACCATGATCTTAAAAGAAACAGTTCACCCAAAAACTGCATTGAGTTAAACTAAACAAGGCTGCCAGTTTCGAGTATAGTCTTTTAAAAAACCTTTAACTTATTAAACACGAACTTAAAGCTATTAGTTCGCATAAAGGAAAGATAGTAACAAATAGGACGCAATTTTATTTTAGATACAGAAATGTTGAAATCATTTTGATTTTGCAATTCTTACAAAGCAAACTTGAGCG